CCGCCGGGGACGGCTCCTGGTCCTCATCCAGGTCGTCCATGGTGGCCGCCTGCAGCTCCAGGGGGTCGATCAGGATGTTGGCCTTGGACGCCAGGTCGTCTGGGAGGAAAGGCAGGGCTCTCAGCCCGGTGGACGGGCGAGGGTCACGCTGGGCAGGGGCCTGCGCCTCACCCTGCACGTCCTCCAGCAGCCTTCCCTGTGCAGCCAGGACTCAGTCTTGTAGACTTGGTGGCAGGGGGCACCCATCACACCCTCCCTGCCCCTCTATCTCCCGGGACCTCATGCTCCCCTGCCCGCGTCTGACTGCTCCTCCTGCTGCCCCACAGGCTAAAGGCGGCCCAGGCTGCCCACGCCTCTGCTCAGCGCACTCCGCCCGCCCAGGCCCGGCCTCCCACAGGCCGTCCCCCCTCTGCCGCCCCGTCTGCCTCCAGCCCAGGCCCGTCCTGCCGTCCGAGCCTCCTATCACCTCAGCCTCCGCCGCTCCCGACGGGCCCATCCCCACAGCCTCTGGCAAGAAGCCAGGTCATCCCTGCTCCTCTGCGCCGGCCTCCCCACACCTCTGCCGCCTGCACACCGGCCACTCGTCCCCTTCCCCTGCCCTCACCCCCCTCAAAGCACAGGGGCAGCCAGAGGGGGCGTCTGACGACGCGGCCCGACCTCCCCCACTGCCAGCAGCGAGCTGACAGTCCCCGGAGGCGCTGCCCTTGCACCCCGCCTCATCTCCTGGCTCCCGGGGCCCTGCAGCCTCGTGCTCACCCCTCCAAACAGCTCAGACAGCAACTCCGGCCCCAGGACTCGCCCAGACCCCAGGGTCCCCACTCTGTCAGCACACGTGCCCCGCCTCACTGCAGGGCTCCAGAGGCCCCCGGGGGGTGGGGCGGGGGCTCCAGGGGAGGGACAGCTGGACCCAAGACGAGGCCAGTGGGTTTTTTTTGAACCCAGGGTCCCCACTCTGTCAGCACACGTGCCCCGCCTCACTGCAGGGCTCCAGAGGCCCCCGGGGGGTGGGGCGGGTGCTCCAGGGAAGGGACAGCTGGACCCAAGACGAGAGGCCAGTGGGCAGAGCAGCCTCTCCCGCCCGCAGGCCGGTGCCCGGGTGCCCTCTAGTGGACACAGGTAGCACAGCACGCACCGCAAAGCCGGCTCCGTCCACCCAGCCCCAACCAGCTCCCCCACTGGCCGCACGCACCTTTGAGGGTCTTGCGGAGGTGAGAGAGGAGGCCCCCGAGGCGCTGCTGGTCGAAGTAGTCCACCTTGCCGTTGTAGAAGACCTGGGGCGGGACGTAGGCCTCTAC